GGGCACCAAATTTCTTATAGTTTAGGCTCGGCCCAAACCTGATATAGCCCGATTGATGCCCACTCCTACCCTACTCTGGATCCATTACTGTTTACTGTAACTTTTGTTCTGATTGCTCAATTTTATTTGATTGTACTACTTATATTTTTAATATTAAAATTTTAAGACTACGATTTTACATCCATATGATAAATAACTTACTAGAGTTAAAATATACATATTTAGATATTGATGGCCATTGATTTTTAGTAGAAATTGTAAACTAAAAATAGAAGAATGGTGCCATGTACAAACTGTCTATAGATATGCCAAATTTTTATATCTATTTTCCGAGAGTATGTATCATAGTATTATTTCTATTTTTATTGTATGTAATTTTTTTGTCAAAATGTATTATATAAAATTTATAGATATTTTTAAATAACAAATATAATTTGCAATAATTAATCTTTTAAAACCTTAACAAATCTCACTACAATAACTAAGAGAGATAAATTCATTTCTCTGATTTCCTGCTATAAAAGAGGGAGACGGTGGTGGTCTCCCTATCTCTCCGATCTCCCTCTCCTCTCATTTCCCTTCCATTCAATCCTCATGCGATCTTCTTTCAAATTTGGTCTTTAATTCAAATATGATTTGACCTCACCAAGTTGGTCATCACTACCTTCTCCATTCTTGAATTCAAAATTTTAAGATCTGGTTCAAATATTCTCACAATCCGAAAGCTAACGGTGGATAACGCGTTTGTTCCATACTAGACGTCCACTTCAATTTCAATGTTCTATCTTGACCAGCAGAAAGTGGAGTCTTCAAATTCCAAGTTGAATGCTGCAGAGCAGCAGAATTTTGGATAAGTTCGATGGCACCTTGAATGTGGTGTTTTTTTCTGCTTGGTTTTCTTAATTTTTAACTTGTTGATGTAATAATCCTTCATGTGTAGATGTTTGTTTCCATCCTTGTGGAGGATTTTATCCTCCTTTGTAGAGACTTAGATTATTTATTCTATGAAGATTGTTTTTTTTATTTTTAAGATTTTGTGATAGCGTTGGATTGATCCAGGCTTTTATCAACGAAAATTTTATTCCCTTTCAAAAAAAAAAAAAAAAAAAGTGATTTCTCTCAATTTAACCCTTTTCTTTTTCTTTTCTACCTAGAAAATGTGCTCACGTGAGCATTTTCTATTCAAACTTGTAATGATAAATGACCAAATGAATACATTGTAGGGTTGCAAACAAGTCGAACTGAGTTCAAGCTCGGCTCGTTTATTTATTGAGCTCGAACTCAGCTTGGCTCAATAATATTTATGAAACTCAAGTTTGGCTTAGCTTAACTCAATAAGATTCTTTTTTTAATTATTTATATTATTTAATACATAAATAATATATTTATTATATAATGTAAATAAAAATAAACGAGATGGAGCTCGAGATCGATTTATTTATTAAACGAGTTGTGGGGATATATTTCTGAGTACCAACACGTGGCAAGGCGACACCGATGTGTCAGCCGAGGTGCCACGTGTCCTGGTCATTATGCCGAGGTTATTTCGGCGTTACCGAGGTTATTTCCGAAGATATCGGAATCCGAGATAAACGGATAAGGGACAAGAGCCCTAGAATGAAGAGGAGACTTAGTCAAGATGAGGATAAATCTCTTAGGGAGTTTATCTTTATCTCTTGAGGAGTCCAAAGTAAGTATTAAATCGGAGTCCATAGAAGTGAGGCTTCTAGTGGGACTAGGATTAAG